AGAATAAAAGAATGATTGACCCTTCTCTCTCTTTCCGCAGGGTTTGAGCAAGGACAAGGACCGGCGGGACGAGAACCCACGAAACTCGTTCTGGGTGTTTGACATCGCGCACAATCGATGGTGAGAGAGAAACCCCCGTCCCGTTTCCCCTGCATGCCCCCGCGCATGCGCCAGGGTAAAAAATACACGGGAGCGATGAGCTCTTCATACCTCCGAAATCGCTCCTGTCAGGCTCAAAATAGCTCCCGTAAAATTTTTGATGTAGAGCTATTTTTCCACAGACTTGAAAAAGAGCTCCCGTGAAAAAAAATTAATTTTTCCCCTGGCATGCGCGTGCCCCCTCCCTTCAGCGTGTGCGCAGAGCCCCGCGAAATCTCGCGACTGGGTCGCCCGTCAACTTTTTCACCTCGCAAAATCGCTCTCGTCTCATCTCGTTCTCGTCGTCCTGATCGCTGATCTCGACTAGTCGTCCTCTCGCGCTCGTCGATCGCTCGTAGTGCGAGAGACTACAACGTCGAAGACGTCTCCTCGCGCTCTTGTTGTCTCTTCATCGAGGTGCTTTCGACCAGGGTAAAAAATACAAGGGAGCGACGAGCGATTCGCTCTTCAAACCTCCGAAAATCGCTCCCGTGAGGCTCAAAATAGCTCCCGTAAAATTTTTACCGAGAGCTATTTTTCCCAAAGAAAACGAGCTCCCGCGAAAAAAAAACGTTATTTTTCCCCTGCTTTCGACCCGCGCGGCATTGACCTCTGACCCCCCGTGTGTCGTCGTGCGCAGGTCGTGCATCTACAAGAATGAGAAGCTGAATCAGAAGGACAGCAGCAAGCAGTCGGTGCTGGAGCCGTGCGCGAGGTATGCGCACCAGCTCACCTACGACCACGTGCACAAGGTACGTAGGCGCTCGCTCGGCAGCCCTCCGCACACCATCTCTGCTGGTCTCACTCTCTACACTGTCTCTTCTGGTTACTACACTCTGTTAGTCTCACTACACTCTCTTAGTCTCCACACGCCCTCCCTACTGGTTACTACACTGTTCTGTTAGTCTCCACACACCCTCTCTACTGGTTACTGCACTGTTCTGTTAGTCTCACTACACTCTCTATTGGTCACCACTCGGCCTCTTTACCCTCTTTATTAGTGTCCTTAACCCTAACCCTAACCAACAATCAAAGTACTACGAAATTGTCTTTAACTGCATAGTGGTAGAGTGTGGTAAGAGGCTAGAATTAGCGTTATCGTTAGGGTTGGGGTTAGAAATTTATTCGCTCCCTCTCTCTACCTCTCTCTCTCCCTCCTTCCTCTCCCTCTTCCTCTCCCTCTCCCTCTCTCGGCCTCTCTCTCTCTCCCTCTCTCGGCCCATCTCCCTCTCCCTGTCCCTCTCTCGGCCCCTCTCGCTCTCTCGGCCCCTCTCCCTCTCCCTCTCTCGGCCCATCTCTATCTTTCTCTCTCTCTGTGTCTCTTATATTCTCCTTGCTGACGAGGCGCTGATTGCATTCGTGCGCTACCTGCACAGGTGCACTACCTGTTCGGCGGCAACCCGGGCGTGTCGTCGCTGCCCAAGGTGCGTCTCGACGACTTCTGGTCGCTGCGTCTGAGCCGGCCTTCGCGCGACACGTTGCTACGGCGATGCCGCTACCTGATACGCAAGCACCGCTTCCAGGAGATCGCCACTTGCGCCCCGGCAGCCGCGCTCAGGTGACTGGCTAGAGAGAGAGAGAGAGTGTGCGAGCGAGAGATAGAAAGAAAACGAGAGTGAGAGAGAAAGAGAGCGAGAGTGCGAGCGGGCGTGACGTCCTACGAACTGCCGCCCGGCTCGAACCTGATTTCTCTTTCTCTATCAAATATCTACGCAGACGCGGCGGCTGCTGTACATCTTTGCGGGCCAGCGGTCGAAGGAATACCTCAACGACTTCTTCACCTACAACCTCGATACGGGCGACGTTGAGATTCTATCTGACGGCTCGCGCAAGGAGGGCATGCACGGTGAGCGCCAACGCTGCATTGACACATGGAATATAAGGGGCAGAAATTAACTTGTTGGACTCCCTCCCTGCCGTTAAAAAGAGGGAGTCTGCAGCAAAGTGAGGGAGTCCGCAGTCTGAAGTTCAAAACTAGAGATATTAATAATAACGAATGTGCTTATTTTGAAGATTCATGCGGTTGCACGTCTGCCAAATTTTGTTTGGACATTTGCTGAAAAAATACGGTCATTCTGTGAGGCTGTGCTCTGGAACGAACTAGTTAGTTTAGCAGAATTTTCAGGGAGTCACACGGACTCCTGCATATGTCAAATCAGGGAGTCCGACAATAAATCAGGGAGTATTTGACACAGTAATTTCGCACCCTGGAATATAGGGGGTGGGGGGCAGCGTGATGCACATGTAGTATAGTGGCAACCACGCCCACGGATCCTCGTGCCACTGGCGCTTTCGCCTCCTCGTTATAGTCGCTTGTTACACATGTCGATTACTCGTTAGAATCGCTCGTTAGAGTAACCCATCACAGTTTCTCGTTAGAGTTGCTCGTTACAGTTGCCCGTTACAGTTGCTCGTTACAGTTGCTCGTTAGAGTAGCTCGTTACAGTTGCCCGTTACAGTTGCTCGTTACAGTTGCTCGTTACAGTTGCTCGTTAGAGTAGCTCGTTACAGTTGCTCGTTAGGGTAGCTCGTTACACATGTCGATTGCTCGTTGCAGTTCCGGCGGCCGGGTTCACACAGAGGGCAACCATTGACCCACTCACGGATGAGATCCACGTGCTGTCGGTGAGTACGTTGCCACGGCAACGCGCAAGCTGCCCGCTACTTTGTTCAAGCTCGCCGTGGATTGAAAGATAGTCACCCCCTCTAAAATTTGGCGTTTGCCATTGAACTCTATGCCAAGAATTTCGAGGGGCTCTTTTTGGCCCATTTCGGGCGGCTAGAATCGCCACCGACGGCCCCCGTTCTGTATTTTTTTCGCTGTACCTGTTAAGAAGCGTCGACACGTCGCAAATTACGCCTCGCGAGCAAACGAGTACGAGCAAACGACACGAGCGAGACACGTGTCACGTCCTCAGCAAGACACAACCTTCGCCGTTGCCAGCGACGACGAGCTCGACGATAACCCAGAGATAGAAAGACGGGCCAGCCACGTTCTGCCACGTTCTTATCAGAGGTTTAAATCGACATCGAAGAGCTCGCGCATCTTGCGTATTAGGTCCATGATAAATGGTCTCTAATTACGCCATCGTTAAATCATCGCTAATTGCGCCATCGTTAAACCGTCGCTAATTTATGCCATCGTTAATCGTCGCTAATTACGCCATCGTTAAATCGGCGCTAATTTACGCCTCGTAAATCGTCGTCAATTACCGCCATCGATAAATCGTCCGCTTAATACGCATCGTTAAAATCCGGTCGTCAATTACGCCCATCTTAATCGTCCCGGCTAATTACGCCATCGTTAAATCGGCGCTAATTACTACACCATCGTTAAGTCGTCGCTAATCATGCCAGTCACCTGAGCGCGGGCTTGCCGACGGGCGCATAAGTGGCCCGATTCTCTGGAAGCGCCGGCATTGCGATCAGTTAGCGGGCATCGCCGTCAGCACACCGTGCGTCGCTCGGCGGGCAAGGCCGCGCCGCAGACGCAGCGACCAGAAGTCTCGAGACGCCCACCCTTCGGCGCAGCGACGACAGCGCCCGCGGTGCCGCCGAACAGGTAGTGCACCTGCTGCAGGCTATATGCGCACGAATGCAGATTCAGCCAACCTCGTCAGCAATCGGAGAAGTATTAAGAGCACAAGAGAGAGAGAGGGCGTCGAGTAGCATAGAGAGAGAGAGCGCAGAGAGCCGATGACAGCAGCAGAGAGATGGCGCGAGGAGGCGAGAGCGCCGGCCAGAGAGGGAGAGGGCAGAGGACAGACCCACGGCACGAGCAGGAGCAGGAGAGAGAGCGAAGGAGGAGGGCAGAAGGGCAAGAGAGGGAGAGGGGCCGACGGGAGAGGGGGACGGAGGAGCAGTGGGGGGGGGGGCGGGGGAGAGAGGGGAGAGGTGAGAGAGGGCGCGGGAGGAGAGGAGAAGGCAGGCTTCTGCCGCGTACTTTCCGGCAAGACGGCGGGGGGGCGGCGGGGGCGCCGCGCGCCGGCCGGTTGGGGGGGGGGGGGTTGGGGGAAAGACGCGCGCGCCCCCGCGTGGTTGCGAGAGTGCGGGTGGGTGCGCCGGCGGGGCGCGGGGGGGGGGGGTGCCGGCGAGCGGTGGGGCGGGTGGAGGAGTGTGGGGCAATTGCGCGGCGGCGGGGGGGCGCGGGGAAGGTAAAAGGTGTGTGTGTGTGGTGGTGTTGTGTTTTTAGATGGGGGAATGGCATACGGGATGGAGGAACAGGCGGGCCGAGATGAGGTCAGGCGTTTGGGTGAGGTGGCTGGGCCTGGCTTGGGGCGAGCGTGCAGATTGAGGGCCACGGTCCGGGGGGGGGCGGCAAGAGGAATTCCCATGTCGTGACCCACTGGCCCGAGCAAGAGACAAGGTCCGCACTTTCAGTGCGGGGTAGCAGCGAGACAGCGGAGTCTGAGTGGTGAGCGGTGAGGTGAGGGTGATTAAGCAACTTAGAGTATGAGGTGTGGTGGGGAGTGGAGGTGAGGTGGTGATAGGTATGGGGGAATGCGTGATATTATAATGGGTTGGGTTGCGGGGGGGTGATGATATAGCGTCAATAGATGCGTTGGTGGTGGTTGTAGGGGTGCAGGCGGGGCTGCGGGACGTGTGTTGCTGTGGCGTGCCGAGCGGAGTGGGGTCGGACGGCAGGGGCGGCCCCCGGAGGGGCGCCCCGCCGCTGAGGTGGGGTCCCCGCGCTGCCCGGGCGCCTGTGGGTCCGGCCGGTGTTTCGAAGTTGCGAGGTGCGCGGTGGGGGGGGTAGGCAGAACCCTCGGCATGAGCCGGCCAGAGAAGAGGAAGAGGGAGGAGGCAGAAGGAGGGGAGGGCAGGGGAGAGAGTGGTAGAGGAGCAGGGACGGCCGAAAAATGTTTCGGAGCCCAGACGGGGCCTAACAGATAACGGACTTAATTCTTAGCGCGTGCGTGTAGGCCGACACGTCTAACCAAGGCATCCAGGTAAAGACCAATTTCGGTAGGTTACTTTTGAGTTGTGGTTAGGGTTGGAAGGGAGCAACTAGTAGAAAGAGGGGGAGGAAACGAGGCGGATGGTGGAGGGACCACATAGCGAGAGTGGTAGTCAGGGGCGGACTAACAGAGAGGGTGTAGAGACCGGGGGTTACGGTATGCAGAGGGCATGGTGCGCGAGACCCTCAACAGCGCAGGGGTTGTAGGTGAGCACTAACAGAAGAATCGAGGGTGAGTAACGCAGCTACGAGAGCGGCGGTGTGGAGACTAACAGAGTATAGTGGGAGACAGCAGATGATGGTGTGCGGGGATGGCTTGGCGCGCCGGGGGGAGGCGCAGCGCGGGGCTACGGTGAGCCTTGTGCGAGCGTGAGGGGGGGCGGGGCGTCGTAGTGGTGTGAAGCGTGCGGGCTCGCATGTACCATGCGGGGGGGCGGAGCGCGCGGGCCGGAGGCACGGGGCCGAGGGGGGAGCTGCTTGGCCTGCGTGTGCGCTGGCGGGGATTCAGCTTGCTCGGTTCTTGGGGGTGGTAGGGGATGTCACGACCTTGGCGGCACGACGACATCACTGGGGGCGTCACGAGTCAAGGCATCTGCGGGGCCGAAAGCGCAGGGAAAAAATGACGTTGTGGTGTTGTGTGTGGTGCAGGCGGGGAGGCGTCGTGTGGGGTTTGCGTGTGTGGGGGAGAGAGAGTGAGGGCGGTGCTCGGTTGCGAGAGATGCTATGTGTGTGAGGCGGGTGTGTGGGGTGGGTGGGGGGCGGGCGGGTGGGGAGCTGATTTTGGGGGCGTGCGACCGGGGGGGGGGGGTGGGGGGAGCGATTTTCGGAGAGGGGGGCTTTGAAAGATGCGGAAGTCGCGGGGAGAGTGCGGCTTGGCGGCGGGGGGGTAGGGGGGGGTGTGTTGGTTGTTAGCCGCATGGCGGGTGCGAGGGACGCAGCCGGTCGGGAGTGAAAGACAGAGCCGGGAGGCCTGAGCAGTGCGCGGGGGGGCGGGGGGAGGAGGACGGGTCTTGGGCGAGCGGGGGGTGTAGGTCTCTCGGCACGTGGAGCGAGGGGGCGGGAGAGTGACGAGCGGCGGGGCGGCGGAGAGCCCGACGAGCGTAGTGCGGGGAGAGGGGTGCGAGGGACGGATGAGAGACGGGGGGGAGGGAAGCGAGACGTGAGGGAGGGCGCGGGGAGGGTTTGCGGAGCGTTAGTCGAAACAAGTTGACCAGGCTCGACACCGTCGCGAGATTCGCGGGGCTCTGTGCACGCGCGGGGCTGGGGGGGAAGGGGAGGGGGGGGCGACGCGCGTGAGGGGGGGAGGAAAGAGAGTGTAATTTTTTTTCACCGGGGGGGAGCTCTTTTTGCAAGTCGTGTGGGGGGGAGAGGAAGAGAGGGGGTAGCTCTGAGCATGCTCCCAAAGGGAGGAGTGTTGGACGGGGGGCGGAGCGCGGTGGAGTGTGTGGGCCTCACGGCGCCGGAGGGGGCCGATTATGCGGGAGGCGTTGAAGGGGTCATCGGCTGGCATCCGCCTCCCGGTGGTGATGTTAGTGTGTAGTGGGCCGCTGCGGGGGGGTGGGGCGCGGGAGGGTGCGGGCGGGCGGGCCGGGAGGCGGAGGGGGGGAAAGCGGCGGGGGGGGGGGCGAGCGGCGATTTCTCTCTCACCATCGATTGGGGTGGGGGGGGCGGGCGGGATGTCAGAGCATCAGGGCCCAGAGACGAGTTTCGAATGGGGGTTCTCGTGCCGCCGGTCCTTGCGCGGTGGTCAAACCCTGCGGAGGGGAGAGAAGAGAGAGAAGGGGTCTGTAACATCGGCAGGGAGGGGGGGGGGGGGGCGGAAGCTGTCGAGATCATGTATTTTATTGCTGAGGACACTGGTGGAGGACGGAGGCGGAGAGGAGCGGAGGGAGAGGGAAAAGGACTAAGGGGATAGAGCGTAGAGAGGAGGGGAGTGCGGGGGGGGAGGCGGGAGGGAGAGGAGATCAGGGGGGGAGGCAGAGGATATCGGGGAGGAGAGGGAGATCAGGAGGGAGAGAGAGATCCGAGAGGCGGAGGGAGATACGAGAGGCGGTGAAGAGCGCGGAGATCGAGCTAGTGTAGAGACTGAGATCAGGAGGGAGAGCGGAATATCGAGGATGGATGAGGGATATCGGGACGGAGACAGGGATATGGAGGGAGAGGGAGATCGAGAGGGTAAGAAGGGCAATATCGGAGAGGATAGCAGCAGAATCCGAGAGGGGAGGAGCATGAGAGAGGGAGAGGAGATCGAGGGAGAGAGAGAGCATCGAGAGGTTACGAGAGAGATTCGGGAGGGAGAGGATATCGGCTGAGGGAGGAGGGAGGATCGGAGGGAAGAGGGAGTAGCGCGGAGGAGAGCGGATATCGGCGGCGCGATGCGGCGAGCGGGAGGATCGGGACGCGAGAGGAGGATCGAGCAGGGAGAGCCGGATACTCAGAGGAAAGAGAGAGATTCGAGAGCGGAGAGAGAGATCGAGGTAATCGAGAGGGAGAGAGACAAGTCGGGAGGGAGAGAGAGATTAGAGGGAGAGGGCAGAGCAGCAAATCGAGAGGGAGACGAGAGGCGAGAGGAGAGAGCGACGAGGAGAGGGAATCGGGGAGGCAGCAGAGAGATCGAGAGGGAGAGGGAGATCGCGGCACGGCAGAGAGAGATCGAGAGGCGAGAGGATATCAGAAGCGAGAGGCCCCGAGGATCGCAGAGGCCAGGAGAGAGCCATCAGGAGGAGAGGGAGCATTGAAAGGAAGAGGCGAGACTCGCGGAGGCCGAGAGAGAAGATCGCGAAAAGGGACGAGGCCGAGATCGCCGCGGAGGCGGCAGAGGGAGTGCAACGATAGTGAATTTCGATCTAAGCTCGATCGACCCGCCGCGCCCGATCTGCCGTGGCCAACGTAGCTCACCCGACAGCATCATGGATCTCATCTCGTGACGTGGTGGCAACCCCGAGTCGATGCCTGCCCCTCTGTGTGAACCCGCCGTCCGGAACGCCAACGAGCACGACATGTGTAACCGCAGCTACGGCCTAACAAGCAACCTGCTAACGAGCCAACTGCTAACGGCGCGGCCGTACTCTAGACGAGCAACTGGCATAAGACGAGCAACTCTACACGAGAGAACTGTAACGCGAGCTACTCTGCACAGCCCAACTCTAACGAGAAAACTTGTGACAGGTTACTCTAACGCAGCGCGGATATCTAACGCGCAGTAATCGACATGTGTTAGACGAGCGACATATAACAGAAGTAGGCGAAAGCGCCACGTGGGCACGCAGGGATCCGTGGGCACAATGGTTTGCCGCCATACACATTGTGCCTCACCGCTGCCCCACCACCTATCATTCCAGCGTCCGCACGGTGGCGAAAAATACGGGTGGTGATCAGGATGGATAGCGCTGGGGCTGAGTGGGGAGTTGTGCGGAGCGGCGGCTGAGTGGTGGAGGGCAGGAGAGGTAGGGGAATCCTTCCGTGCCGACTCCCGAAACATCTGGCTAGAACTAACTAGTTCCGTTCCAATAGCACAGCCCTCGCGGAGATGAGCCGTATTGTTTTTCAGCAAATGTTCCAAAACAAAGATGTTGGCCAGACGTGCAAACCGCCGAGGCAATCTTCAAAATAAGCCACATGCGTTAATTTAAATTATCTCATGGGGAGCTTTGGCAGGGACTTGGGGCAGGACGTGGGCGACGTGGCCCGTGGCGAGGTGTTGTGTGGCTGCAGACTCCCTCCTTTTTAAGGGCAGGGAGCGGGATCCAACAAGTTAATTTTCTGCCCCTTAATATTCATGTGTCAATGCCCAGCGTTGCTCTCACCGTGCCATGCCCTGCCTTGCCGGAGTCGCGTCAGATAGCCGATCCTCAACGTCGGCCTG